GGGGGACGGGGGGTTTCTGACGATCTCACGTAAAAGGCTGGGACGGTCGCTTTTATGCTTCTCTCTATCCTCGGATAACTTGGCGATCTATCGTAGTCTCGAAAGACGCGCATACGCCTGTATTTTTAATTCTGTTATCGTTTGCATCAATAAATGCGTTTTGAAAGAGATAGGAGAAAATGAGCAGTATACCCTTTATACATCTTTAACTTCCCGTCTTAGTATCCTGATCTATTCCTATTTACGGAAATTTTTTGAATGATTAAGTATCAAAGATACATGGCGTAAACTGCACGCGCGTTATGTTTTAGTGTATGTGTACGATATTTTTAAATATGGCACTTCAGTAATTTATATTAGATTTTCAGGATAATTTTAATGATGTTTCGAAGATTTCGAGAAATTTTATCATTTTTATGATATGTATATTTTGATAATGATTTTTTGAGGAAAAACATGTATATAATATATCGATCGTGAATATATTCTTGTGTAGGCACAACGCGTATCGCGTAAACGTGAACGTATGTATAACATACTTACATCTGACGTTTAGAATCCCAGGGTTAGGAAAGCAGGAAGCTCCGTGTAATAGAGACGATTAAAAAAAAGATCTGCGTACATCGCTCCCGAGATAGTGTAACGTCGATTTGCAAAAGGGGGACAAGAAATGAATAATCATGAACCGCCCGAATTATTTTAGAGCTATTTAATATAAAAGAATTATACTTTGATAGATATGATTATTCCGTAGGAATGATTCAAGTGTATCGCTTACGAAATCAAATTCACGGTCTGCAAGCGATCAAACTAACATATACATATAAGTACTAATTAATAAAATAATGCTATACAACCGCGAGAATGTCAGTAAATTAAACGAGAAGGAAACCCGACAAAATGGCGTGTCGCCGCGTAGCGATTCCGAAATTCGCTAGTCGGAAACTCATGATTCAGAATTATAAATAAAATAATTATATAATGAACTATCGAGTTATGTATTATCATGTATTATTATGTATTAAAATGTTAATATAGCGACAAGATTCTGTATATGAAAATTATTTTTGGATTAAATTTACTTATATTAATTGGAATATTTTGCGTATTATTATTACGCTGTCAAAATTTAAGATATATACGCAAAAAAGTTAAAGAATATTTTATAAATCTGGACAGTTTATATAAGATCGACTTTAGTCGCGAATACGCAAATTACGGACTTCTTGCCCGAGGCCTTATAAACGTAAACACATTATATTTATGTCATACGATCTTCGTATAATATAAAAAAAATCTGTTTATATATACCTATATTTATACATACATGTGTACATATTTTGAGAGATATTGAGGACACTTCTCGAGGACTTTATTTAGTCAGAAAGTCGTATATTGTCAGTTTTGCAAGTTTCGTGTTGCTGAGCGGTACAGAAATATGATAGACGCGAAAATCGTCAATTTCGAAGTGCACGATATAAGATTTCCAACATCGATGTGGCATGTTGGAAGCGATTCGTTGGTATATATATGCATTGCAATATATTAATTTTCTTAATCAAAATATTTGCGCGTGTATATTTGTCTTCGAATTCCACCGTCAGGATTACATTTAACATAATCAATTTCCGACAGCATTCGAATCCCGATCATTCTTGCACGTACGTAATAATCCACACATCAGACACGAAATATAAAGGATACGGCATTGCAGCCACCCTGGGAAAAGGCAATGAGTTAGGTACGTATTAATTAACAAAATCAACATTTTCTCTCCTCTATCTCCATTCCATTATTGATAGACAAATTTTATATAGTGGTGCAAACGTGCGAGCTCATGTTCAGACTCGCAGAGAACCGAACGACCACGGAGATCTATTCGAATTTTGCAGCCTTTTGGAGAGAGTTAACGACTGACGTGGAACTTCGATGGGTAATCAACAACAACTTATATAAACGAGCGACGTGTAACTACATACCGATTATAATTAAAATATATAACGACCCAGGGTGTTATTTATTTTAGCTAGGGCCGGAGTGCGGCGTGGTGCACCTAGCTACAGCAGCAATCGTGAACGCGTTGTGGGATCTGTGGGCGCGTATCGAGGATAAACCCGTCTGGAAGCTGCTTGCGGACATGAAACCCGAGCAGCTCGTTTCCACGATCGACTTTAGATACATGTGAGCCATATAAAAGCTGTCACACGCGTTACATTTGCGTGTCTCGCGTTGCATTTGAAAAATATATATTCGCGATTAATATTTTGTATTAAATGTTCGAAATTTTTTAATATGTACACGTTGCAGTAGAGACGTGGTGACCGAGGAGGAGGCGATAGAAATGCTCAGGGAAAGCCAGGCGCGTAAAGAGGCGAAGGAGACGGAGCTGCAACGCAGCGGGTATCCGGCGTATACGGCCGACATCGGATGGTGGAGTTTCCGCGACCAGCAAGTCAGAAGTGCCTGCGCGAAGTTTCGGAAGCTCGAGTTCAAGCACTTCAAGATGTCCGTGGGCCGCACCATCGCCGAGAGTCAGAAGAGGTGCAGAGTGGTGCGCAGCGTGATCGGCAATAAACATAACATGCTGCTGGACGCAAATGAATTCTGGGACATGCACGACGTGATGTACTCTATGATAGGCTTCGAGCCGACTCGACCCTCCTGCATCGAAGATCCGACGTCCCTTGACGATGTCGTAGGGTACCCCGAGATTCTGGCCGCGTTAAAGAAGATCAAGCATCCGATGCAAGTGAGCTGCGGCGAAATGTGCGCAAACCGCGTGCAGTTCAAGCAATTCTTGAAAATTGGCGGAATCGATTTCTGGAACGTTAACGTGGGCAGACTCGGCGGCGTTAACGAGGCCCTGGCTGTGTACCTCATGGCGAAAAAGCATAATCGTAAGTTTGCCACCGACAGTATAATTATATTTCTTATATCTTATGGTAATAATCCGGAGAGCTAGAAACTTTTGCTCAGTGAAACGTAAATCTCTCCTTTGCATTTGTAGTACCGGTATGGGGCCATGCCGGCGGCATTGGCTTGGGCGAGATGATCCAACATCTCCAAATGTGGGACTTTATTTGCTTGAGTCAGTCCACGAATATGATAGAGTACACTAGCCAACAGCACGGATACTTTGAGGATCCTGTATTCGTTAGAAATGCCGCTTACCTACTGCCTAACCGTCCTGGATTTTCAACCCAGCTCAAGGACAAGTGCATTGCGCGGTGGTCTTACCCAGAAGGTATACGTTGGAAGCGTCTGTTTAGCAATCGTTTAAAAAGAAAAAAAAACGCTTCAGAAACGAACTTAATTATGAAACAGGTAGAAATTGATGATAATACGAAAATACTTTGCCGATAAATCTAAGTTTGAAATTCTCCGTAAAAATATTCTATACAAATATATAAAAAGAGCACATATTTTCTTATTAAAATATTACATGTAAAACGCATTTACTTTGAGATATATATATTCAATACTTAAAATTGTGTAAGATTATTTCATAATAAACATGTTATCTTCAACAGTAAACTGTGTTATTTTCATTCTCACAGCTGCCGTATAAAATTTTCAGGAGTCATAAAGAGCTAATTTGCTTATCATATAGAAAAAGAAATAAGAGAGAGATTTAAGAGATTCATACAAATCAAACGCTTCTTTGATTGCATTACTTTTTAATTTAAAATATATATAAACTGTACATATATATATATTTTTTTTATAAGTAGCATATATCTATATGTATATTTTTATGTAATATACTTGATGTGAGCATGATAAATTAATGTGTGTAACATATTTATACGAGTGGCAGTTGAGCTGAGAGGGAATCTTAAATTTTCCTAAGAAACTCTGTTTTAAAAGCCGTACCTCTATCTATTCCGTAAATATTTACCATCTTATCCTTCTCGTGGAAAAAACTCATCTCTCTTTTTTTTTATCCCTCTTTCGTTAATAGAACGAATGAAACGGAAGAGTCGATAACACAAAAATTAATAAAGACCCTAATTATTATCAGTCCATTATGTGGAATACGTTTTAAATTAGCGCATAAGTTATCCTCGTGAAACCCTTCATGTCGCCGATACCATCGAACTAGAACGGCCAAATGTCATGCAAACGAACACGAGGAGTTGCTTTAATTTTCAAAGTACCGACTTAACTTTAATCAATTGTACCCGCAACGTAAATAAATAAAAATGCACATTCGCTAATTTCGCGCGAAATAAAACGCGCGGAATTATTCGTCAAAAAAAATGAAATCGTCCGCAACTCCTTTAAATAAATTTTGTCCTTTATATCATTTCGTTTCGACCATTCGTGTATTACAACAAATAGTCGTCTTCCCTCATTACGTATTCAAATTTTGTGGATAGCACTAAAGTACATATACGCTCGCACCCCCATCGACACATGCTCACGAATGTATTCTTGTTACGCGAAATTATCGTACAAGAGACACGCCTTATTTCGAGAATTCACTGTGTGAATTCTAATGTATTGTTTGGTGACGGCGTAAGAGCAGAAGATACCTTCTTTGAAGATACCTTCAGGAAATCAACCTCTACAACCTCTTGCAATCGATTGATCGGCATCATTACCTTTCTTGTATGATTTCGCTTAACAAGATACTGTCGTCCGTTGTTCGTAATATCTATCCTCGTCTAACGCTTCGTAGGTGACTTACGTGCTAAAAGTAGTTTTCGTTTGGGGCACTTCCCCTCCTCCCCCCTTCCCTCGGTCTCTGTACAGTGTGCTCTTTTTATAAATAACTTCTTATAAATTAGTATAATCTACGTTTCTTGTTCCGACGATAAAAATCATACAATGTACATAATGCTTGCTTACGGCGATCCACTTTTAATACTGCGGGTAAATTCTTCGTCCCTTCGCTGTACCGTAGATGCGTAGGTTTCGTAAGTGACATTTTCCCTCTCCGATCGGTATCCTTCTAATCTCTCTTAGAATGCCGCCCGCGCGTTTGTTTGTTTGCTTAAAGAGTTGCTCGAGGAGCTGCCGCGAATCGAAAAGTTCGGAGCTTAAGCTAACTTAATACTCTAGTAAAGAGGTAAGTTTCAACTGCCCGGGTAAGGCATTTGATCTGGAAGGGCGGACGAGTGATTCTGATTGGGGCTCTGATGGAAATGCGGACTGGTGCCGTCCTGCGAGATGTCGCCGACGACGGGCTCCTCGTATTTGCCTCTCTTGAAGCGCCCGTACAGTGACGAATACGGCAGATTGAAGTGGATCGCGGCTTGATTTATGCTCATGTGCCCTAATCTGCAACAACAAGGGGAGTCACGTGATTATTTATTTTGCATTAAAAATTTGCCCAAAGAAAGAAAGAAATTCATCCATTATATTCAATAAAATGGAAACTTTATAAAGGAATTAAAATCTTTTTCGAACATTTTATAAGATATATTGCAAAATAAAATTAATTTAATCCCCACAGTAGTTATTAAATTTCCTTAAACTGAATCATTAAAGTATATCGATCTATTTGTAGTGCCAATTGAGAGACGAACGGTAAAAAAAAAAGAACCACATATGATACCTGACGGCCTCGAGAGCTTCAGTCATAGCGTCTTCGCTCCACGGCGTAGGATTGCTCCTGCTAAGCTCGATTCCTTCCCGTTTGCATCTTCCGTAAAGAGTCCCCGTAGGTATACCGAATTCTGTCGACGCTCTTTGCACGGACGTCTGACCAGATCTTATTGCTTCTAGAGCGCGGTCCAGATCGCTGGGCGTCCACGTAGTCGGACTCGCGTTGAACGGCGCGGCCAGTCTGATGCCTTCCCTCCTGGCGATCTTGTACAACGTACTGGAAGGTATACCGTACGCCTTGGACGCCTTGTTAGCCGAAATGGAGCCGGTGCGCAGCGCTTCTAAAGCGTTGTTCAAGCTCTCGTCGCTCCACGATTTCGTGGGGCCGTCCTTCTTCGGTGTGTCGATGCCCAGTCGGTGCGCCCGTTGCCACAGAGTCGTCGAGGGAATACCGAATGTTGCTGAAACATCGATAAATTTGCACATTTAATTTATTTCATATACAGAATCGTTAATGCTGTAAGCTACATTTAAACAAAAATTACATTTATTTCGTATTTAACGTTTTAATTTTACTCAAGTCAAGCATATAATTACACACATTAAATTATTGACTAATGCATCGATACTCAATGACCACTCATTAAAAATTATAGCTCTATGTAATGTAAAAAAAAGAAGAAAATGAATAAACCTTCAAACTGAAAAACAAATTTCTGATAATTTCTTAGATTCTAAATAATCACATTGGTGACAGATATTCGGAATGAGTAAAGATCAGAGTATGTGTGCAGGAATTTTTTTTTCTTACCAGAAGCTTTTGTCAGGCTCATGTTGTGATGCCTCAGCGCCTCTAAAGCCGCGTCCATGTCCTCCTGCGTCCACGACTTCGAACCATGATGATGCGAGCTGGACTGCCCCCTCGAGTTGTTCTCCCCCGAATCCGACTGGCCGGAACTTCCCGACGGCATCAGCCCCAGCAGCTCCGGCGTTATCATCATCATGTTATCGCTGTCGGCGGCGTTCTTCGAGCTCACGCTCGCCCGATCGGACATGTGGCTGTCTATGTCGATCGTGTCCGAGGAGTCCATCGTGTGCAGCGTCTCGAACTTGATCTTGACGCTGTCGCAATTCTGAATCTCTGCGAACAGATCGCGGGAACGGGGTATGATACGCTGCTGCTGCTGCTGCTGCTGCTGTGCTGTTGGCGCTTCACACCGGGGAAACTCGACATAACTTTCGCGACGGTATATATTCTCGCCGAGGGGGGTACTCGCGGAAGTTACTCGGTAAGCCTCGATGGGCACCTGAGGATCGATAAGCGAGCGCTGTCGAAGACGAAACTGGACGCGGAAGGAAGGACGCTAAATGAGGTTGCGTGGGCCGCTGCTGCTGCTGCTGCTGCTGCTACTACTACAGACTGAGCAACGCAAATCTAATCGCGACCAGTTAAGCATGATTAGGCCAATTATTTTGATTCCCTGTCCGCCTAATGACCGGCTGCACTTTCAGCCCGGTAGTGTTTTACCCCACGCCGCACCCTCACGTCCGAGGGACGAATGGGAACGTACGGCGGCGACGTTGAATGGACCGAGTAAACGGGAAACTTCTATCACGAGCGATGGGCGAAACAAGACACGATGATCAACTCTATACCATTGGAATTGGATATATTTGGTCATCGAAGTGTAGAGTTCGCGAAAGTGACGCAGGTACTAAATCGCGCAAAGTCAACGAGGGAGAGCTCGCGAAGAGACATTTTTAGCTTAAAAGTCATAAACTTGCTAGTGAAAAATTGACACAAATAAAAATAATTTTGCAATATAACTTTTTGCTCTTTTCCAAATTTTTCGAAGGCTCTATACATATGCTTACTGAACCGCTATCATCTCGAGGAAATTGTACTTTTACTGCATTTGCGCGCGCTCAAAAAGAAGGGTCCTTTATAGTTCTTAAAATATGCATATCCTTCTTCCTTTATTACTCTTCTCGTAACGAAGAAGCGTCCCACGACATCTTTTCGCAACCAAGTTCGCTTCGCCCCAGTTTCATTCCATTGAAGATTAATTAAAAAAAAATTAATTTGAACGGGATTAGAAGCAATTGGTTCACTTCGTTTTACGCTCGTGTACAATTGACTTGTCGAGGACTCGCTATTCCCGAGGTAAGAAACGGTACTCAAGAAACGTAAAGTTTTTTTAATACCTGTATGATGATCCGGATCCCTCAGATGGGTGATGGTGGTGCCGACCAGGGTGGCGCTGGGTGGGGTGGGTTGGGTCTCGGGGGGCAAATCGACCTCTCCGGGATCCGGATGGTGGCCATAGTGCCCTAGCCCTGTGTGACAGAACATGTCACCTTTTTATTCGACGTGAAAAGGGTCCGTCCGGATCGATTCTGAAAACGGTAAATCGCCCCACACCTGGAAGCTTCCGGAATAATTGCGACGCAAGTGCTTATCGTTTTTCTTCTTTCAAATTTGGTCACGAGTTATTTATTTACTGGAACGTAAAATACAATGTACATATTATAAAAATATTATTAAAAAAAATTCAACAAACAAAAAGGTCTAAAAGTGTAGCGCGAAATTAAAACTTAATTTAAATTTAATCAAAAGAAAAAAAAAACTAATTTACAAAATTCACGTTTCATGAGACACAGACGAGGAAAAAAGAAGGACGGTGTCCGATAGATATGAAAAAGCCAGGTGTGGGGCAAAAATCTCGGCTGATCTACTTACTGTTGTTACTCGTGCCGTTACCGTTGTTGTTGTTATTGTTATTATTATTACGCTGGCAAGTTTCCAGTGCTACTGCTGCTGCTGCTGTCTCCGTGCACTCTTCATCTTCAGCCTGCCAGTCCCGATGGTTCTGCGGAATATCCGGTACGAATTTAGCGTCGACCCTGACGAGATCGAACCGCCCGCCGACACGGGACAGCCGTTTACGTTTGTACGTTTTCCTCACTTCGTCTTTTTCAACGCGTTACAAAATTAATTCTTTGCTACCATTAAATTCGAATGAAGGCTAACACAAGCAGTAACTCTCTTATCAACGCATTTCTTATAATCAACATAATTTATAATTATAACATTTTTATTATTAATCTCTCTCATTAGTTTCCATTGAGAATTTAATATTAGATGATGAATCACGTCACGTTAATAAACTGACCTCTAATAAATGATTAAGTAATCTATTTAAGGAAATTTTCTTTAAAAATTCCCGAACTATATATCACATTATAAATATATGGTTACGTAATTAACTTAAAAACGTTAAAAATCTCAGAACTACTATCGTGGTGTAAATAATTGTAAATGCCAAACACTCCTTTCAATGCTCATAAAAACACCACTTGGAATTGAGTCTTGATAATGCAACGTCGCTACATAGCAGCTGAGAACAAGTGTCTCTCAAGAATTTACCTCTTTGTTATCACGGTTGTAATCGTTGGCCTCCTCCTCTTTGTAACGATCGTAGTGTCTCGGATCGGTAGGACGCGGCTCGAACGCGGGCCGCTCGATTCTGGGTCTCTTGTACCGCTGATGGTGCTTCTTCAGCTTCGTGTAGTTCAACCTCGGGGTGCCGGACTCCCTCGGCGGCGAGCTCAGACTCACGGGCTGCGGACCGTCCCTGTTCTCCGGCACCTCGCACAGGCCCTTGATTTTTAGCTGGTCGGCCGTCTTCAAGAGCGACTGCGGAAGAAAGGGAAAACGCTCTTAAGTCGCTCCGAAGTCCGGCTTGTAACTTCAAATGTAACGCGCCGCGCACGCGATCTAGCGACGCTATATCTATACGCGATCTGCTTTTAAGAATCCACTTAACGAAGAACACGCGCATTTGATTCGAAAAAACATACAATTTCCAAAGTTATTAGACACGTTTCTCCCCCTCCTTTCCCTTCTTCTTCAAAATATTAATTAAAATACATTGCCTAACTTGTATTTTAATTAATATCTAACACGCATTTATTTATTTATTTTTATTGTGTTGAAGCTTTTGTATGTCATAATCAGTCGAGTCTCCGGGATTGACGTTTGCGAGTTACCGCTAGGAGGAATCGCCACACGTTCGCCACACGAGCGAGCGATTAATTCGTTAATTAACGGGATCGTATAATCGAGGCGGGCCGTGTGCGGAAACGCCGTGTGCGTTTCGAGAATCAAGGCGCGGACGCGGAATAGAAAAATACTCATTTCGGTAAACCGCTTTGCGAGAGACGAACGAAGGACCGCGCGGGTCCGGTCCGATTGGATTTGCATATTTCTCGCGCGAGAGCTCGTCGTCCCGGCATCTCGTTCCGCCCGGCGGCGGTGCAATTTCATCTCGGCGACGGGCGTCGACGGCGGTGGTGGCGGCGGCGGAGGCGGTGGTGGCGGAGGCGGCGGCAGCGGCGGCGGCGGTGGTGGCGGCGACGGCGGCGTCGACGTCGAGCACCGTCCGTTCACCCACCGAATGTCGCTTCTGAAAATCAGCGCCGCGGCGATCCAGTTTCGGCGAGCGTGGCAACGACAACAATCCGCGTCGGGACGTCCACGACTCCCCCCCGGTTTCCCAAAACGACGAAATTCGCGTCTCAGAAAACTGCTCGAGGAGACGGCTTGTTCTCCGTCAGCTTTTACGAGCTCGAGGCGTGCGAACTACTTGGGAAACAAGTATTGGGAGACAAGTATTTTCGTAGGTTTATAGAACCGGCAATTTTTAAAACTGAATAAATATATGTATTCAATCAGTTCGGTGTTACTAAAATTATAGCAAAGAAACATTTAAAAAAAAAATTATATTAATGTATGAATAAGTGTGTATTTGGGTTTCCCAAAATTCATAATTAATTTTTAGATTTACGAGAAACACGACTTTCTTGACATGAGTTTGAATGAATGGAGGGCTTTTAATAGGCTGACAATTTTTTAATACAATTCTTAAATAAAGATTCTAATTATAGAACCAAAAGATAAAAGATTAGTTTTTAATGTATATATTTTAAATAAATATATATGACATGTAAATAACTGGTAAAGGCTTGTTACAAGTTCGTGATGTACGTCCTCGTGAAGTAACCTTGAAATCCCGATGTGAGAGGGAGAAGAGGAGGGAAGTTTAAGAGACGAATGAACGGCGAAACGAGGAGGAAGTGAGGTCACGAGGAGAAGAAAGATGATGGACGCTGCACCTCCGCGTGGTGTAACCGTCAAGTCGCGTGGCTTCTCGGGACGTTAGGACGTCCACGTGGCCGACCTGTATAAGGGACCTTGCTGAGAAGCATCCTACGAATGATGACGAAGAGAGGAAGAGGAACGATGACGCGAACGAGGCAAGAAACGAGAGAGAGTGACATGGTGAAGGGGAAACGAGGGGGTGAAAGAGAGAAGACCTAACGGCAGCGACCCTCGCGCGTCGGAGCCTCTCTGTTCTTTAATCAAGCCGGGGGGTGGCACGATTAGGCGGGGTCTGCGCGGTTGCCGGCGGCGTGAGAGTGGCACCGCGGAGTGGAGTAACGGGGAGGCAGAGGGGATGGAAGGAGGAAGAGGACCGGGGGACAGAGGCAGGTTGCACCGGGGTGGCGGGAGGGCGGGTGGCAGTGGCGGCTGGAACACGTTGCGTGGGTGGAGAACCGGAGGGTGAGATGGCAGATCGGGCTGGATGGATTGAGAGAGTGACAAGGAGAACAACAGAGAAAGAGGAGAGGAGAGGGGAGAGAGAGAGAGAGAGTGCATAAAAGACAGAGAGAGAGAAAAGGAAGAGAAACGAAGAGAGAAGAGTGAGATGGAAAACGAGAGAGGGAGAGAGAGGGAGAGAGAGGGAGAGAGAGGAAGAGGAAGAAAAATTCGCAGAGAAAAAGAGAGAGATGCAAACGGAGAATAAGAGGGAACTGAGAGGAAGGAGGAGGATCGTGCGAGCAGGGAAGGGGGTTGCGGAGAGGGCTGAAACGTGGCGGAGGCAAAAACGCCTGCAGGAAGAATGGGGAGGCCTCCAACGCGGCTGTCGCGGCCCCAGGGCCGTATCGACCATCCCCAACCCCTGATACACGCACATGCACATACACACACCCTCTCTCTCTCGCTCTCGTTTCTCTGGGTGTTCGCGACGGCATCGACACCAATGACTTCCAAGCGTTTCCACGCGCGCACACGCGTCTACCCCTGTCCCTTTCTCTCTCACCCTGTCTCTCTCGTGCCTTCGCTCGTTCGCCGGCTCGTTACGGCCGGGCGTGTGCACGGCCGCCCGAAACGTCCGCGGATCTTCGATCTCGGCGGCTCGGGAGTTTGATGGCGCTGGTCGGGTCGCGGGGCATGCGATAATCGAGCGTCTCCGTCGAGACGAATGAGGAAGCGAGCGAACGGCCACCCTCGACGAGGACGAGGACGACGACGGCGATGACAGCGGTGCGACTTTCGGCAAAGAGGATCACGCCTCGGTTTGCGGGCTTGGAATGTGCGCATTTTTAGCGTCAAATACGGCAATAATTGATTTTATAAACATGCAATGGTTGGGACCCTTGAATTCTTTTTAACGTCATTCTTGGAAATTAAAGAGCGTAGTGGAAATTTAATCTCAATGCCGCGCGTATTTAGCATGTTAAATAAAATCAAATAAAAGTAAACTACTTTAATGCAAATGCAGCATTAATACTTTCCAGCGATATCTCGGGATTCGCCGACGCTATAATGCAGTTAATGTAAATTTATAAGTTTATTTTTAATTTACATAGAAATTATCGAGAACCAAAATTCGAACTTAATTGCTATTTATCTTTACATCGTAAATTTTCAGTAATTTATCAATAACCTCGGAGTTTTCCAGCTTTTCGGGAAAAGCGATAAACCTGTTGGACAAAGTCGGTTGTAGAAAAGGTCTCCGTCACTATTCTTCCAATGCTACAACCGCTCTCGCCGTGTGTAATTGAAGGACACTCGATAACAATGCATGACGCGTTATAATTTCGGTACACATTGTCTGTTTTAACAGCATTCGTTCTCTCTTGGTTAATGGATCGTATCGAGCGATTCGCAATTGGGGCAAAATTGTCAAGCATCCAATTTTACGCCGCAACTGTAATGGATTTGTAATAATAAGAATTTTCGAATTGACGTGTCAATCTCCACTTGTTACGGTATATAGAGTAGTTCGATATAATGTAAACGCAATTACGGAAATTTTATCGATGAAATGTCGAAATGCGTAAACGTTTGCGCTGCGTACTAAATGTTTAGACACCGTCGCCTTCAAATTTTAACACCCATTCCTTATCGTAATGGTTTAACTTTGTAATTAAAATTTATAACCAGAGAAATTAAAGCACAAGAAGTGCATAACGATGATATAGCGATAAGAAAAAGAAGAAAGAAAAGCCGTCTACGTTTGCACTTCTCCGTCCGTAACTTTTGTAAAAAATTTAAAAATATTTCGATAGCCGCTGCTCGAAATTCGAACTTGATAAATTGACCAAATATACGTCTTTTTTAAAATAAATACTTACAAAAAATAGCTTCAAGAATTATTATGTATACACCAAATTAATTAAAAATTATGTAGGAACTTAAAATTTAGGAAATAAAGGTGATAAGCAGTTGCAAATTTTACGATCAACTTTACTTAATCTTATTTTATATTATGATGTATATTCAATTGTGATCAAGTTTCTTTAAAAAAAATTGTTTACACAAGGATTAATAATGTGCTCAATTATATAGGAAAACTGGTAGATGTTCCGCAACCGTAAACGCACAAAGAGCGATCGATGTCCTCGCGAGACAGGCACGTTACACGATAAATCAAATTCGGCGGGGGCCACGAACGTACAACGAGGGGTCTCGTCCGTTGCAATGAAATTACCGTGCAATGAGCCGCATCTCCGTGTATCCGAACGAAATGACGTTCGATTCTCGGTGGAATTCCCTCGGTGGAATTTCGCTCGCGTTGTCGCTGCTCGAGTTCGACAGCGAAGGATGCGGGAAGGGGATGAGAGGGAGAAAGAGCGCGATAGAGAGTGAGGGACGGGGGGGGGGGAGCGGCGTGTAGGTTTCGGATTGCGTTCGTGGGAAATGGCGTTTCGTAGTTCAATTAAATAAATAAAGGGCAGAAAAACCTTTGCCGACACGCGGTGCTTTAACGGCGACGGCACTTGGAGAACCACGGACGAAGGGTTGCGCGCGCGGGGCGAGTGAAAGGGGGTTCGATGCGGGGGTTAGGCGGCGGCGGCGGCGGCGGCGGCGGTGGCGGCGGCGGTGGCGGCGGCGGCAGTGGCGGCGCGGCGACGGCGGTGGCGACGGGGCGGGTGGTTGGTTGGTTGGTCGGTCGGTTCGGAGGTGGATGCATAGGGGTGGTGCCATCGGTTCGGAGGCAAGAGGGACACCGCCACACCGGTAGAATCCAACCTCACCAATCAATACTTAGGGTTCAAGGGCATCGGCCGACCAATTATCCCGGACTAATTGACGCGAGACGGTGGCAAAAAAAAAGCTCGATCCCTCTCCCTTCCGTTTCCCCCTTCCCTTCTCCCTTCGCTAGCACCGCTTCCGGGTTTCGGCTCGCCTGTGTTTTTTCCTTCGGGCCGCGTCGATCGCGATCGATCCGCGAATTTTTGAATTCGTAGACACCCGCACGAGGTAAACAATGTCGTCAAAATGTCCAGCGCGATCCGGCGAAGTTACGCTAGACGGCTGTCTTTAGAAGAGAACCGATCGTCAGCTTA